CTGTGGCTGCCCCATCCCTGGCAGTGTTGAAGGGCAGGTTGGATGGGGCTTGGAGCAGCCTGGGCTGGTGGGAGGTGTCCCTGCTCATGGCTGCAGGGTTGGAAATCAGTGATATTTAAGGTCTCTTCCAACCCAAACCAGTCTGTGAATTTATGAAAGAGCATGAAAAGCTTTAAAGCACAAACATTTCCACCCTCACCCTGCCCGACTGCACTCAGGGCACCTCGATGCCACTGAGGTCACTGGTGAAGGCCTTGCATGCACCCAACAGCAAGATGTCAGAATCACACAGAACAGTTTGGGTTGGAGGGACCTCAACAACCATCTAGTTCCACCCCCCCCTGCCATGAGCAAGGAGAAGGAACACACTGCTGTGCCAACACACTCCAGGGACAAGGTGCCGCGAAGGAGGAGAGCTCCCTGGATATGATGCTGCAGACCCCATGCTGGGGGGGCAGGCCCCTTTTTTGTCCTTACTCTCCCCAAATTGATTCTGCCCGTGAGAATCGAAGGTGTTTGACTCACGCGGTTGGTGTCGGGCAACACCACGAATGGAATACACATGGAACAATGTTTTCCATGCTGCTTTCAGCCCCCAAACTCCTCTTTCTCCAATTTTCCTTGTCCCTAAAGTTGGGGGGATGGACCCAGCAACACGTGGAGGGAATTTCCTGGGATTTCTGGGATCCTGAGCACGACAGGAACCTGCGGGTGGCTGCAGGCAGCAACAAAGTCTGAATGAACAGGATGATGTCCCAGCATGTTTTAGGAGGGGAAAAAAACCCCCATATTCAAGTGATAGGAAAACTGGGGAGGGACTTTTTATCAGGGTGTGGAGCATCTAGCAGAACCAGCCACCAGCCTGCTGACATCTTCCACCTCCTGAAGGCACCAGGATCAGCTGCAAGAGCGGCTCATCACAGGGACCTGCACCATCTGAGGCACCAGCTGGAAGGGGTGAGGGTTGTAAATGATGAGGAGAAAAAAAACACCCCAGAACTTCCATGGGAAAATTAAGAAGAGCTTTGCCACTCGTGTCCCAAGGAGATCTTTTGCTTCATTGAAAGCCAGAGAGCAGAGAGCTTTGGGATGCAGCAGAAGGAATGATCCCCTCCCAGAGGGACTTTCCCAGAACAGCCTCTTTTCTTTTAGCCTGCAGCAGAGACCCAGAGGGATTTGAGGTGAAAATCTGCATGGTGCCTTCAGCAGATGTAGGGAGGGGGAATACAGCCCCAAACTACTCTGTTCTGGGAGTATCTGGATGCTCCAAGCAACTGTGCTCTCCATGTTTCTGGGTATTTTGCTACAAATGCTACTGTGGAAATTTCAAGACATCCCACGGGCATTAATTTTCAGTGTAAGCAACAGTCAAACTTCTCAGAATAGTTCTTGTCATGCCCAGGCTGCAATATCTCTGCTTGCAACAGGGATTGTTCCTCATTCCAGGGTCCTGTTGCACAGCTAAGGCAGATGCAAAAGGGTGAATGATGCATTTCTTGGCAGAACTCAAGATCCAATCCTAAGAATTGTTAATGACAGGAACACAGGCTTTGGCAAAAAAACACAAAGCCAGCCCATATCCTTAATGTGGCCTCAATTAATTGTGGTTTGAAGCAATCATGCCCATAAATGCAGAGGATCTGGGATGCAAAAATCAAGGTTAATGTTACAGCAAGGACATCAGAAGCCTAAAAACATGGAATGTGAGCAGAGAAATAAAACAGGATTTGAAGAAGGACAAACCTGTTTCCTCCTATACTTGTGGAACAGAGAGAGGAAAGAATAATACATTTAAGGGTGAAGGGCTGCATCCCTCTAGAGTGAGCCAAACAAAAGGTCTCCTCTGCTCTCCTAAAAACTGAATTAGCTCAGGATCAGCAGCAAATTCCTTGCTTTTTTGCCTGCAAAGAGGTGGGAACCAGCAAGTCGAGCAGCCGGAGCCGCGACCCAGGAGCGACACAGAGAGCTCTGACCCCAGGACGAGTCTGCACAAGTTGTTTGGATCCATCCCCCCCCTAATCCCAAGAGATGAAGCATGGGTTGTTTTTTTTTTCTTTCCTTCTTACCTGCTGACATTGCCATGGTGGTCCCAGCGACCATGCCCATGGCCACACCGTTGGTCCTGGGCGCAGCGACCGGGGCCGGGTAGATGGCCGAGGGGATGCTGTTGGGCTGGACCACAGTGGTGTGATGGATGACATGGGGCTGGGCTGCATACACAGGCTGGGTGTAATAAGCTCCCTGTTGGAGAATGGGGGAAAAAATACAACCCATCATCTTGGTCCTTCAACTGCAAGCACGAGCCAAAGGGGTGAGTTGGAGCCCATGTTTTGTTCGGAGGCAACTGGCAGGGCTGGGGTTCCAGCAGCTGCGAGGGCAGCCAGGAGGCAGCTGCAGATCCTGCTGTGGAATGAGGTTGGGGTCACCCTAGGGATGACCTTGGGGTGGGTCCTGCCAGCAGCACAGCCCTTTACCTACCCCTGCAACCAGTGGGACTTGGGAGGTTCCCCAACCCAGCATGTACTGGGAGCTCAGAGTGGCTCAGAGCTTCCCTTGGAGACTTCATAGAAACACAGGATGGTTTTGGTTGGAAGAGACCTCTAGGATCATCCAGTTCAACCTCCCAGCAGCCCAGGCTGCTCCAAGCCCCATCCAACCTGCCCTTCAACACCCCCAGGGATGGGGCAGCCACAGCTTCCCTGGGCAACCTGGGCCAGGCTCTCCCCACCCTCACAGCCCAGAATTTCTCCCTCCCATCTCAGCTCCAGCTCCCTCTGCCAGCTGGAAACCCTTCCCCCTGCTCCCATCCCTCCCTGCCCTCGTCCCAAGCCCCTCCCCAGCTTTCCTGGAGCCCCTTCAGGCCCTGGAAGCTGCTCTCAGGTCTCCCTGGAGCCTTCTCTTCTCCAGGCTCAACACCCCAACTCTCCCAGCCTGTCTTCCG